TAAATTTTTGAAGTTGGGAGCACCAGTGCTACCAAGTAAAAAAGTTAATTTCGAGCCCTGCATTTAGATAATTCTAACTCTTTTCCTTACAAATATCATATACTTGTATTCTAACCTAGTATGCCTTGCATGGCCTTATGCGATTCCATTGCGGTACAATGCTGCCTTGAGGCAACATGCAGTTTTTTGTAATTTCCTATGATACATTTGATGAAATATTATGTAAAGTTTTTGAAACTACTTCTTTACTTTCCAATGAAGGTGACTAAGATTTTTTTGTAGGCAATTATATGCACGGAAATTGATGAAAAATGCACTTTTCATTGGACAAAATATGGAGTCATGTGACATGTGCACATGTCCTGAAAGTGGAAACAAAATGGACCCCCGTGGGTCATGTGACCACTTTTTTTGTATGTTCATTTATTAGTATTTGACTTCTACTTCCCTGAGACAGCATTGGTCAATTAAATGAGTCTCTCATTTTATTTAAAAAAACAAAAACATGTTGTGTTGCCTGGAGGCAACACGGTACCATAGAGGGTTAAGTACTTATTTAATGTATTACTTAAATTTAACAAATGGTGGAAATGGAAGTTCCTTTTAGCATTTTAAATTACAGTTAGTTATATTAATTGTTTTAAATTTCAGTTGATCTTAATTGTACTTCCTTATATTCAGAATCAGTTCTGCATCATTTTTACTACCTCCATTAAAATTCATTTCTGATTCAGAACTGAACTGGAATTTTAAAAGCTTTCTCAATTAAATTCGTAATGGTGTACAACCCTGCCAAGCATATACTACAAAAAATAACCTTTGTATCCTAAGCTTTTTATTCTGGGTATATATCCTATCAGTCCTCTCTTACAAAGCAAAGAGGTCAGATTCATTGAAATGTGTATTTTACAAGCTAAACGAATAATTGCTCTTAATTGGAAAAATATCAGTGGGCCAAGATTTGGAAAGTGGATCAAAGAAATGGCGTCAAACATGTCAATGGAAAAGATCACGTATATTGTCAAAAAGAAACAAAACGTTTTTGAAGATGTATGGAGACCTTTAACTAATTTCTTAAGGCACAATGTTAATGTTGGTAGCCTGCTACAACAAGCTCTGAGGGAGTAAGGTAATATCATGATCTTCTTTACAGACTTGGGAAACACTCTTTACTTGATTTAGGTATCTTTACATTTTTATTTTATTTTATTTTATTTTATTTTCCCCCCCCCTTCTTTTATTTATTTTATTTTATTTTATTTTATTTTATTTTATTTTTCAAAAAAAAAAAAAAACCTTTGTAAATGTCACCCGTGTGTGTGTGTGCGTGCTATAGGCGCAGCTGGAACTGGACTCTGTGGTTGTTGAGCGTAGGCAGTTACTCCAGCAATGGAACAGCAGCCTGTTAATGATGAGGAGGAGGGATGAGACTTACACTGCTATGCAGGAGCAACTGAGGTGAACATAATGCTCAAGATTTCTGTGTGTGTATGATCCAAACAACAGTACTGATTTGTACTGATGATCCCTCCTCAAGGCTGACCAATGATCAGGTGCGCTCTCTGGACACAGAGATTGAGGGCTACAAAAAGTCTATCACACAGGAAGAAGAGCAGAATGAGCGTCTAACTCTGCGTCTGAACCGGGCCCAGAATGACTGCACCACCTCACGTAAACTCATCACCCACTCCCAGAACCATCAGGAGGTCCTGCAGGCCCAGTATAGCACATATACACGAATGCTGCAGGAGACAGAAAAGACCCTCAGTACACTGCGTTTGGTATTTCATTCACATCAACCTACAGCTCAAATATTTTTGAAGACAGGTTTATGAGCACTAGTCAAAAGCTTTTGTCTTTCTTAAAAGAAATGTTATGACTATCTCTCTTTTTTAGGACTATGATGTGCGTCAGTCTGAGCTCAAGGGTCTCAGAAAGCAGATGGAGAAAGAGTCTGCAGTGCGTATGGATCTGGAGGACCAGATCATGAGCAAGCTGCAAGAGCAGCTTACTCACAATAATGCAGCAAAGTACTCGCGTCGACTGACTGATAAGTCTGCAGCACACAGGAGAGAAAAAGTAGGATGCTTTCGGCTAACACATGCATTTTCACCACAAATTTTTTTAATTATTGTCTTAATTTTAAGTTAATCATTTGTAAATTGTGTGATGATTTTTTTAATTAGCACCTTGATTTTTAATTACCTTTGGATTTTTAGGTGTAGTATGACCTGGACACATTGAATTCAAACTTGTGCATTTATATGATTTCTCAGGAGGCTCAGTTAACTAAGTTAGAGAATGACATCAATGCAGTAACGCTGGAGGGGCAAGAGGTGGCGACACATCTGGATTCTCTGGCTGCATTTCAAGCTGAACTTGAGCAAGAAATGAGCCAGCGTCACTTGCTCCTGTCTTCTCGCGAGGCAGAGATTGCTAAACAAGTCACAGATATTGAGCGAAAACAGGCCACGATCAGCACCTACAACAAGAAGATCAGGGATATTGTGTCCAGTACAGGGGTTAGAGCTCACACTGCAATCAGTACATGTTTTAACATATGGATGTTTAGAATAAGGCATAGTGATCTCTTCTCTCTGATAATTGCATTTTCAAGTTACTGTATTCAACTCATATTTCAATTAATTTTCAAGTTACTGTAGATACTGTATATTTAAACTTTCCAATGTGTGTGAGAGTAGCATGAAGACCTAGGTCCTCTGGAGATCAGTGCAGCCACCCTGTCTAAGAAGCTGGAAGAAGTTGGTGCTGAGATTAAAGAGCAGCAGCAGTTGTGGCTCTGGCAGCAGGGGGAGCTAGTGAGATTCACTCAGGAAAAACAGGCCCACAGCTCTTCTGTACAGATCCTGCAAACACAACTCACAATACTGCAACAGAGCAAGATCAGGAGAGAGAGTATGTACTTTTCACTAACATGTAGTGGTGCATTTTATGTGTCTTCATTTACTCTTTATCATATTATTTCAAAACTGTAAGATATTCAAAGAACATTTAATCTGGACCCCACTGGCTCTCATTGTTTGTAGGGGAAAAAAAGTAATACAGAAAGTAATACAGGTTTGGAATGACATGAGGGTGAGTAAATAATGAGAGAATTTTTATTTTTTATTGAACTATACCTTAAGTACAATTAATATGGAAAAACCTTTTTGCCATTTGTACAAAGAGAACAAACAAACAAAGTACAAAGTTATAAAATGTGTCTGAGAAATAAATACATTATTGATATTGTGCTCTGCATATGTGTGTGTTGGTTATGTTTGTGCTTATCAGGAGAGATGGAGCAGGATCAGCGCGAGCAGGCAGATCTGGAAAAACAGATTAAAGCTCTCATGGCAGACATGGTCAAACTGAGCTCTCTGCTCACTAAGAACAGTGATCTGAATCAAGCCCTGCAGCAGAGCAACAGTCTGATGGAGACAGAGTTCAGACAGAGACTCAAGGTACAACACTATGCACTGTGTAGTTTTATATTGTGAAAATCACATTTTCATGTATTCTTCTGTTTTTACTCTTTCCATTTTGTCAAATGTACTGCGTTAGTTTCCAGAGCTCACAGCGTATAGTAAGAAATAACTAATGTTGAGTTTAGAATACTGTGGCCCTCGAGGTCCTTTGTCCTGCAGAGTTTGAATAGGGTTGGAGCTAAATATTGCAGGACAGTGGACCTCAGAATCCCCGATCTAAATAGACATATAATATTAGTCACGTGACTTATTGTGTAAAATACATTTTAAACACTTTATTTGTATCTATCTTGTGTGTGTAGGAGGCTGAGAGGGATTCGGTTGAGACTCAGCTGAAGCTGGAGAGGTTAAACGAAGAGAAAGAGAGACTTATAAACAGCCTAGTGGAGGCAGAGTGAGTCCAACACACTTCACACATACACACCCTGACCCTGACTCTTTTTAATTTAAAGTGAATTTTAGTATCACTTTAATACAAGGTTCCATTTGTTATCATTAGTTAACTAAATTAGTTAACATGAACTAACAATGAAAATACTGCTCTGGAAAAAATTAAGAGACCACTTCAAAATTATCAGTTTCTCTGGTTTTACTATTTAAAGGTATGTGTTTGAGTAAAATAAAAATTTTTGTTTTATTCTATAAACTGCTGACAACATTTCTCCCAAATTCCAAATAAACTATTGTCATTTAGAGCAGTGGTTCTCAATTCTAGTCCTTGCAACTCCCCGCTTTGCACATTTTGTATGTATCTCTTATCACTTCAGATGTTTGTTAAATTCGACCATAAGTGCCCTGCAAAGTGGACGTCACAGGATATTCCGCCATGATTCCAGTTCAAAGGGAGTGTATATGTTCCATTCAAAGGGCATTAAAGTAATGTAAATAAGAGAGACATGCAAAATATGCAGAGCGGTGGGTTCAAAAAAACTTCTATTTAATGACGCTGTACTGTAACTCTTTACTACGGGAGAATAGCTAATGTAGGTGACATTGTTTTATGGAATGAGGTTGGATCACAGTAAGTTTTCATTTAATGACAACATCAAACATTCTTTTGCTTTTATAAATTACTTTTTTGGTAACTTTTCCCTGTCCTTTCTATTGCTGCTTAGTGATTTTTGCATTCTTTGGCTACAGCAGTTAACAGTTTTCTTCTGGTTGTTGTTGCCGTTCAATCTGCAGCGGTTGCCCTAATGTCATGCCATTGGATACAGTAAATTCTTGGTTCAAATAGCATAATTATATTTAGCCACTCTTATAAATCATGTTAGAACAATTACAATTGTAACAGCACCTAATTGGATCCACACCCATTTGTGCTACCTAAATTCTAACTAAATGCCTACCTAGAGAACATTTTTGGGCATCTTCGGTGATGAGTAAGCAGCTAACTCATATGCCTTTGACCCAAAAATGCTGTTACGATCAAAAGGTCACTAGGTTAGTGATACAGCCATACATACAGCCACAATGTATAGAATCAGTATAATACCAGGGCTAGAGAATGAACACTATATTGCTTTGTTTTGTGTGTGTGTTTGTGTGCGAAGGCGTCAGATCATGCTGTGGGAGAAGAGAACCCAGCTGATGCGAGAGACTCGCTCTGCCATAGATTCAGACATTGGACAGGGAGACATACGAACCATGAGAGCAGAGATTCACCGCATGGAGGTGAGTGTATAAGTGTATTTGTGAAAGTAACTTCTAAGTGTGGTTTCAGTCTGAAATGTTATGTACTGTATGTGTCCAGGTTCGTTATGCTCAACTGATGAAGCAGCAGGAGAGGTTGTTGAGAGACATGGAGTCAGTGGTGGCCAGACGTGAGACAATAGCTGTTCGGAGTGAGGCTCAGGCACGATCTGACCATAAGCAGCCCACACACAACGACTACCACAACACTCTCCAGAGCCTCCGCCGAAAGATTCTCCAGGCAAAGAAGGTGTGTGTGTGTATCAAGGTTATAATAATTTAGACATTTTAAATTCGTTTTTCTTGTATTTTAAATATATAAATGATTTATTCATTTAGTTTTTTTTTTCTTCATTTTTTATTACTTCCCCACTTTATACATAATTAAATTTACTCTTAGCTTTTTCTACTTTCAGTTTACTTTTTCTGCACTTACTTTCTAGTAGAATTACTAACGTTAACACAGTTTCTGAAACTGAATCTTTTCTGGTATACTTGAGTGTGATTGGCCAGTGGTGGCAATCACAATCTTACAAAATATTTTGCACAGTGACTGGTAAACTATATAATTGACCATTGTCTCAGGCAGCTGATTTTCTTTGTGGCTATATGTTAGCTTTGGGTTTTGAACTTCAGTATTTCAGTATCACTTCAGTATCAGTATTTACTATAGTAATAAGTAACAATAACTTACTGTAATAAGTGGGATAATTTCGTATATATTGAAAAACTGAAAAGAAAAGTTCTGGATATTTTCATGGATATTTTTTTGTTATCTTTGAGCCATGATTTTTTTTTTTAGTTAATTAAATGTTGTTGTTGTTTTGTTTTTTTTTTACTTTTTATTCTTAGTGTTCAGTTTAGTTTTAGTTAATATTAATCACCTTTATGGATATGACCTGTATTATGCAGTTTTTATTTACAAAATGAATTTAGAGACTGTTTTGTCTGTTATAAAGAACTAGCTTATGCCTTGTGTGTTCAGCAAGCAGAAGAGTGTGATGGTGCTATAGCTCAGCTGGAGGAGAGGCAGGGCTCTGTGACCTCCAGGCTCCGAGACAAACGTATGCATCTCAATGACCTGCAGCATACCAGAGCGGTTCTCACCCAGGACCTAAGCGCACTACAAGAAACCAAAGAGAGGGTCAGTCCATCCACTAAGAGCATACGCACTTGCAGGGATGGGCAGTATTTCAAATACATGCATTTGAAATACAAAATACTATTTTGTATTTTGTATTTAAATACATTTAAGCTTAGTATTTTTGTATTTTCAAAATACAAAAATACTTTTTGCCAATCAACCTCTTAATTAGACTGCTGATTTCCTGGATCAACAAGTATACAAAAATACTAAATACAAAAATACTAAGATTAAATGTATTTAAATACAAAATACATTTGACATTTTCCAAAGGTATTTAAATACAAAATACAAAATAGTATTTCAAATACATGTATTTGAAATACTGCCCATCCCTGCTGGAAATCAGCAGTCTAATAAGGAGGTTGATTGGTAAAGTACCTTATGTATTTTGAAAATACAAAAATACTAAGATTAAATGTATTTAAATGCAAAAAAGTATTTAAAAACAAAATAGTATTTTGTATTTCAAATGCATGTATTTCAAATACTGCCCATCCCTGCGCACTTGCATACTAGACATCCAGTGGGGGGTCACAGCTTAATGAGCCAGTTATATTATATTTAAATCAACCAACGTAGAGCAATTTTACTTGACATGCAAGTCACATCAGAGCGGCAAGTGTACTGTGTGTTTACATAGACTTTTATTTCCACAAGAACCACAATCGCAGGAAACAACATTTTGCACTCTTGAATTTTATTCAAGACATCAACACTAGTGGACATGGTTAGCAAGAAGAATTTAGATGTACTGCAGGTTCTAACCATTTAAGTTTATGTTCTGTAACTGTGTGCCGATTATTTGGCATCACCAAAGGTTCTCTGCTCATTTCTGCAGAACTTGTATCATCTGCCCGTGCTGCAGTGTCGGGCGAAACACCTGCAGGCTGTTAAGGAAGGACAGTACACTCCGGTGGCCAGTGGAGACACTGCATTGGAGCTGGCTACACAGAAACAGGAAGAGCGATTGAAAATGGTTAGTGTAAAATCCATGAAAGATTCTCTGAAGTAAATTAGGCAGAAATCTTGTGTTATATGGTCTAGCGTGCAAAGCTAGATGTAGATCCAAAATTCACTTAAGTTACTGATGATGATGAGGCTTAAAGGGGTCATGAACTGCCTCTGTTTTTTATTTTGTACTGTTCTCTAGGTCCACTTATAATGTTAGCTAGAATTTTACATCAAAAAACATTATAATTTAGATGTAATAGGCTATTTTCTCTCCTGTTTTTGACCCCCCTCATCTAAACGCTCTGTTTGAATAGGCGTGGTGGATTGTAGACTCGGAAGTAAACGCCCACTGCTATGATTGGCTAACAGTTATGTATGTTTGACAGCCTGCGTCCTTCACAGATGGACGCTGCTGTGATTTAGGTTAAAACCGCATAAATACTCAGTACATATCAAACGATCTGTAATAACAGACAAAGCGATAGTGATCTTGTAATAAAAACAGTTACACTTGCAGGGATGGGCAGTATTTCAAATACATGCATTTGAAATACAAAATACTATTTTGTATTTAAATACATTTAAGCTTAGTATTTTTGTATTTAGTATTTTTGTATTTAGTATTTTTGTATTTTCAAAATACATAAGGTACTTTGCCAATCAACCTCTTAATTAGACTGCTGATTTCCTGCAGGGATGGGCAGTATTTCAAATACATGCATTTGAAATACAAAATACTATTTTGTATTTAAATACATTTA